TTCCTGGAAGGAGGTTCAGGGAGGTGACAGCTCTGGGTCTGTGGGGAGGGAATGTGTGGGTGCTTCAGGGATGGGTCCAGGTGTTTGGGCTGTCTGGCAGGAAAATCCTCTTGAGGGAATACAGGGAGACTTGGATCTGGTGGGTTGGAATGTTAAGGGAGGGCAGTGGAAGGAATTTCATAGAACCACAGGATGGTTTGGATTGGAAGGGACCTTAAAGACCATCTCATTCCATGGGCAGGGACATGTTCCACAGGTTGCTCCAAGCCCTGTCCAACCTGGTCTGGGGCATTCCCAGGGATGGAGCAGCCACAGCTTCTCTAGGAAAGCTGTGCCAGTGTTCTCCCACCCTCCCAGTGCTCCCCCAGTATCCCACTTTGTCCCGGTGCCCTATGGAACTGGACCAGTGGAGATCATGGACCTGCAGGGAGAGGGAGGTATGAGGATGCTCCCAGTAAGCCCCAAACAGGTCTCACTGGTTTGCTGCTGGTCTGGCTTCAGAGTGAAACCCCACCTCAATCTCCAGAGTCTTTATTCAACACTGAATCATAAAATAGCTCTTTACACACTTTTTTTTTTTGGGGGGGGGGAGGGAGGAGGGGGAATTGGTTTTTGTTTTTTTTGTTAATTCCTTAAATACACATTGTTTACACTCGCCAAAGTTTCAAAGCAACAACATCAAAGTGCGTCTACAGGTGATAGTTCCAACCAAAGTGCTAAAAAACCACGGGCTCCTGGCCGGAGTCGGACCCTGCTTCCCACCAAACCCACCTGGAACCTCCAGTGCACCCTGATCCCACCACTCCCCCTCCTCCAGGACAACATCCTCTGGTGGATTCACACCCAGGACCCGGTTTAGCATCGAGGGACCACGGGGATAAGAGGGGAAAAAAAAAAAAAAGGGGGCTGTTTGGTTCTCCAGACACTGGCACATCGCTGCAAAGAGACTAAAATAGACCTAAATTTATAGAGAGTTTAAAAAAATAACTTGGGAGGCAACTGGCTACCTTTGGGGAGGGGGGAGGTCGCTGTACAGGGGCCCCTCGGAGCCCGCTGGCGGAGCAAACGAGGGCTCTTCAGGGAAGAGGATCCCAAATTCCTGTCTTTGGAGATCTCTCTTGCCCTGCACTGATTATCTCCTCTGATTATCTCGAAGCAAAAGCCACCCCACACCATTGCACCCACTTGTCCCCGGCCCCAACCTGCCTCGTTGCCCCTCCACGGGGCTCAATCCCGAGGCTGGATCAGAAAAATCCCATAATTTTCCCTGCTTTTGGGCAGCTTTCCCTCCTCTCCTTCCTCCCTTCTCCCACCCTCCACGGTGGGGGGAATTATTTTGCCTCCCACGGGTGAGGAAGATCCATCACCACCTTACAACCAACCATCTCCAGTTCCTAAAATCTCCCTGCTTTGTTTTCCCTCCTTTTAAAGCATTTTCCCACTTCCCAATTCCCAAATGCTTTTGCTCCATCCCGACCTGCATTTTTCCTTCCCCCAAAACGAGAGGCTGAGCTTTAGCAACGCTTTTCCTGCGGGTTTTTTTGTTCTGTTTCCCCTAAATTCAGAGTGTTTTGGAGGATCCATGCAAGCTGTGCCCCTGCTGGCAGCTGGCACCGGGACACATGGCATAAAAAAAGTGGGATAAAGATTAAAATCCTCCTTGGACAGAGCTAACCCTGGAGTTCCCGTTTTCCTCGAGCCCTGACATCCCAGATCCCCCAAACTGGGGGCACAGGGATAAGGCAGGAGGAGGCAGCTGGTCCCTGGAGTGTTCCCAGCTCCTGGGGGCTCGGATGGATGGATAACAAGCAAAACCCAACCAAGAAAAACATGGATTTGGGATAAATTTGGCCCCTGAGCTGGCTTTGATGATGTTGTTCCTCTTGAAATCCCTGACCAGCACCCAAATTCAAGCGACAGGGAATGCTGGGAATGTTGTCCACAGGGAAACTTCAGGAAAACTCCTTAGAAAAGGAATAAATCTCCCCAAAACTGGTCCTGCAGGAGCCAGCTCTGGAACTACCATCCATCCAGCCCCTGCCAGCTCTGGCCCTCGCTGTGACCCCAATTCTCACCCCGGATCCATGGATTTTGCTGGGGATTGTCATCGCAGAGCCCCTCTGGGGCTTCTCTAGGATCTGGAATGGGGCTGAGCTCCTGGATACACTGCCTGATTTCCAGGCTTTTCCCAGGGAATTTGGTATTTCTGTGTGTTTCCATCCCTTTCCAGAGGAAATGGGGTTGAAACTCCGTGACCCGGGCGGTGAATCCACGAGCATCCCGTAGGGATGGGGGTTTGGGGAGGGGAAAAACAGCAGGATGGGGAGGGAAAGCAGCAGGGAAAGGATCAATATGACATTTCAGTGGAAGAAATACAGAGCTGTTAATGAGCTCATTAACAACCTGGGCAATTAGGAGCCACCAGGAGGGCTGGGCCCTCATTACCACCTGTGTCCTTGCCCTCACCCACCTCCATCCCAAGATGAGGAGGGAGGGATCCGTTCAAGCCCAAGGAAAACGGGGAGAACCCCCCCACTTCCCATCTTCTAATCCTTGAACCTGCTCAAGGCCTTGTGTCATCAGGGGATTTCTGTGGAAACGTGGCTTTTGCTGAGCTGGATTTTTCAGGAATGCCCCGATGGTTCGCTCTGGTCTCGGTGACACTTCCAAGCACCAAATTCCAGTGGGAGTGTCCTGCCATGAATTCCAAACCCCAGTGGCTCCAACACCACCACAGACACGGCCACTGACACCACTGGCGGGCACAGAAGGTTTCTTCTCCAAGAATCCTCAAACATCTCCCCCTTTTTCCATCACCTTTGCCTTCCCAACAGCCCCGAGGAGCTGGGAGAAGGTCCCAAAAACCCGGAGCAAACCCGGAGCAGCCGCCTTCAGTCTTCGGACACGACTCTCCACCACGATAGTCTTTAAGCATAGAGTGTATAAACATGCTGAGTATATAATTTTCCTTTAAAATCTTTTTTTTTTTTCCTTCTTTATAGAAATAAATACTTACTTTGTTAGGGTTTTTTTTGTTGTTGTTTGTTTTTTTTTTTTAAGGGAATTTCCCAAGTCTCTGACAGCTCCACTGGGACGCTTTCCTGGGATAAGGGCTGGATGTTCCCCGGGGGGTTGTAGCTTTGCTGGGTGGGTTTTTTTTTTTGCTGGTCGGGGCATCCCTTACTCCTCTTGCCCCTGGAATTTGTGTCCCAGTCTTCCCCAGGTGGAGGTAAAGCCATGGCAGGGAGCTGATCCCAGTGCCAGGAAGCTCATCCATGGGGATATGGTGGGAGGCAGGAGTTTCTCGCAGGCATTTTTTGGGGGGCTCCCACATTTTGTGCAGACAGGGAGCAGCCTTCTCCTGGAAAAGCTGCAGTTGGAGGGGGGAGCAGAGGTGCTTCCAACGGGAGTTATGGCCAAAAATCCCTTACCCTGTTTCAGGAGGCGGCGTGGGTGGGATGAAGGGGGGATGAAGGTTCTCCTGAGATGGGGTTGGAGACCCAGGAGGTGCCTCCAGCCCCGCACCGGCTTCAGCGATTTGGGATTGATGTTGTTGTCTCTCAGGATCCCCACGGACTGTTGTCATGCTGGCAGCCCTGGCTGAGCTCTGCCATGGGCGAGGAATGTGGTCCCAGATGGATCTGCAGCCTCCTCCCTCCTGGAGGGATGTTCCCTGTCAGCCCCTCACCCTGGGAAGGCTGGAAGTGGAGGGAGGTGCCCTGGGAAGGGCTGTCTCCTCGGAGCCACGCTGGCCAGCAGGCACCAAAACCTCCAACACTGGTCCAAATCGGAGGAAAAACCCCAAAAATCTGCTTTTCCCAGTCGGATTCTCTCCGCTCAGCCCGATCCAAGGGCACCTGGCGGGGGATTGGGATGACCAGGGGCTGTGGTTAAGGCCGGTGTGTCCCCACTGCTGGCAGTGCTGTGATGGGTGTCCCCAGTTCCGTGGGCACCTCCTGGTACTTTATCCCCAGGGTGGAGCATGGAGATGCCTGGCCCTGCTGGATGCCTTTCCAAAGCCTTTTCCCGTGGGAAAAAAAAGGGTATTCTGGGGATGACGACTTCCTTGGAGACACCCGGGAAGGAAAAAGCAGAGTTAAAAAAACCAGCCGTGGCCACGGATAAGGGTCAACCAGAGGCTGTCGGGTGGTGCTTTCACCAGCAGCTTTGGATTTTGGGATAATTTGCCCAGGGTTTCTCCTTCAGGCTGCTCGGGAAGGTGATGAGATGGCAAACATCCCATTCCAGTCCTTCTCTCCACGTGGGACAACTCGCTCTGGATGGAGCCTGAACGGGGTGGTGGATGGTGGGGACCGGAGCGTGACCCGTGTTTCCTGGTGGACGAGGATTTTGGAGGTGGTTTATTGCCTTGGCAGGAAGGTTTTGGTGGAGAGGAAGCGAGGCTGGAGACCTCTGGAAGAGCGACCATCTCTCCTGGTGTCCTCTGGCTCCCGCAGCCCCCCGGGATGCAGCTCTGCCCCCCGGGCTTGTGCTGTGGGGGCTGCTCTCTGGGCAGCGTTTGCCCAGGTTTGGGAGCCCCTCTGTCCAACGAATGAAACGGAGACCCCGCAGGAACACTGGGTGTCCTTCCCTCTGGAGGAACAGCCCCTTCCCACCCCACCTCCCCCACCCCACGGAGAGGACAAGGAGCCCGTGGGATGGGCCGGGAGATCCTCGGACGGTCAAAGAAAAAAAAAAAAACCCTCCAAGAAAAACAGAGCCTGAAGAAAAAGACATTCCCCAAACGTGGATCCTTGGCAACGAGCGGCCGCGGGGGTTCCGAGCCATCTTCCCCTCCCGGGAAGGAGCGTCGCCCTGTCTCCTGGGGCAGCCAAAAAAAAAAAACTGTCCCGAAGTAGCACCTTCTCGCCCGCCAGCCGGCCCTGGGATGAGCCCCGGCTGCCAGTCCCTAAGGCCTGCGAGAGTTTCGGGTTTTCCTTGTGCACGAGCCGGCGGACCCGGATCCGCGCGCCGGGCGGTGGGTTTGGTTTTCACGGGGCCGCCAGGCAGAGGAGGGAATGTGCTTTGTGCTTCCCTGAAGGTCTAACAGCCTCCTTCCACTTTGATGTGTAAAATCTTGGAGAAGCCGGGTCTTTTCCTCAGGGCCTGGAAGAGGAGCGGGGAGTTGGGGTTAGAGGGGGGATCCGGCATTCCTGATGCTCCAAGGGGTGAGGGAGGGAGAGGTGGGAATATCTGAAATCCTTGCTATGGGAAGGACACGGGGAAAGGGAGGGAAAGGGGAATCCCTGCCATGGGAAGGACAAAGGGTGAGGGAGAGGTGGGAGCATCTCAAATCCTTGCCATGGGAAGGACACGGGGAAAGGGAGGGAAAGGGGGGAACATCTCAAATCCCTGCTAAAAGAAGGACACGGGGTGAGGGAGAGAGAGGGAAGAACATCTCAAATCCCTGCCATGGGGAGAATACAGGGAAAAGGAGGGAAAGGGGAATCCCTGCCATGGGAAGGACACGGGGCAAGGGAGGAAGAGGAGGGAACATCTGAAATCCCTGCCATGGAAGGACATGGGGTGAGGGAGAGGGGAAAACATCTCAAATCCTTGCCCTGGGAAGGACACGGGGAAAGGGAGGGAGAGGAGAATCCCTGCCACAGGAAGGATATGGGATGAGGGAGTAAAAAGGGGGAACATCTCAAATCCCTGCCATGGAAGGACACAGGGAAATGGAGGGAGAGTGGGGAACATCTCAAATCCCTGCCATGGGAAGGACATGGGGAAAGGGATGGAGAAGGGGGAACTTCTCAAATCCTTGCCATGGGAAGGACACCAGGCAAGGAAGGGAGAGGAGGGAACAACTCAAATCCCTGCCATGAGAAGGAAACGGGGTGAGGAAGAGGGGGAAACATCTCAAATCCTTGCCATGGATCTGGTGACACTTGTATTACCTGGGACTGGGATCCTTTACCTGGAGTTTATTCACCATTTCTTCAAACATCTTCTTGGCTTCAGGGCTGTGGGGCTCCTTGAAATAGTCCACAATTCCCACCTGCACCACGATGGACTTGAGGTTCCGGCACACACCTGAGGGGCAGAGATACCACCTGGATTCTCCATACCTGGGGGGCAAACGACCTCCCCACGGCCAGCACGGACCCCACATCCCACCCTAGTGCTCCTCAAGGCCTTGTGCACGTGGGGAAACCTCACCCTGAAGCTGGAGGAGACCTGCTCGTGGTGGCCAAGACCAACACTGGGCTACGAGATGGTCTCTGACTGTCCTGTCCCCAAATCAGCATCCTGCTCTTTCCTTGGGAAACCCTTGCCCTTCCGTCCAGAGGGGGGAATTCCCAGCAAGTCCCACGACAGTCACATGAGCCCTGGCCACCAGGACAGACCCTACTGATGGCTGTGGACCTCCTGTCCCGGGAAAAGGCTTTGGGCAAGTGGTGTGACCCCGAACTCAGACACAGGGGGGTGAACCTCAGGTATGTCACAGACACTGGGGTCTGGATTGCATTGTGGAGAGCACAGAGGGAGCATCCCCATCCTCTCTATGGCCCAAGGCAATACCAGCTCTCCTTGGCCCATCCTTGGCAGGGGGATGTTGGATCCCCTCTCAAGGACCTGGAGCTCCCAGCTCCTCCCAGTGCCAACAGGTTCCTGTGGATGAGGCTGGAAGGAAGGATCTGCTCCACGGACCTGGATATCTGGTGGCCTCGTGGCAAATGGGTGATGCCCTCTGGCATTGCTACTCACTGTTGAAGTGCAGCAGGGCTTTGGGGGTGACCGGGGTGGACGTCAGCACCAGCATCTCCAGCCCCTTCAGCCCCTCCCGACACACCTCGGCTGCCACCTCCTGGTTGATCTCGGCCACGTGGTCCAGCTCCAGGACCTGGAGCCTCATGCAGTTCCGGGCTGGAGGGACAGAGCACCCGCTGTCAGCGTCCCACGGGGAAGGGATGAGGGTAGCAGGTGGCAAAAGGGGTGGGTGGCAGCAAGGGGTGGTGGGGTGCACCCGTGGACCTTGGCCCATGGACGTGAGTCTCCACTGAGATCCTCAAGGGGACCTGCAAGGTGCCCTTCTCCTTGTCCCACCAAGGGGGGAGGTGGTGCCCGGGGAGGTGGTGGAGTCTCCATCCCTGGAGGCGCTCAGGGAAAGAGCAGACGTGGCACTCCTGGCTGGGTGGTATGGTGGTGTTGGGTCACGGGTTGGACTCGGTGACCTCAGAGGTCTTTTCCCACCCAACTGATCCCCGGAGAGGTGCCTACCTAAGGATGCCAGTCCCTGGACGCCGCAGCCGGCGCCTCCGACGCCCAGCGCCCGCAGGTGGGGCCAGCACCGCCCGATCATCTGCAGGCAGCGGTTGCTGAAACGTGTCGGCTGCTGGCTGGGGAGAGGAGAGGAGAGGGAGGAGAAACAGCTGGGCAGGGCTGCCGGGAAAGCTCAGCCCGCTCTCCACGAGCGCTCCTGGAAGCGGCGTGGGATTGGGGCATCACCCACCCTGCCAATGCCACGATGGTCACGCTCTGAGGGGGTGTCTCCACACCAGCAATCACCCTAAGCTGTGCTGCCACCAGGACAGGGCAGCCCAGTGCCCCAAACCCTCCATCATGCCTGGGGAATTTGTGGGTACCCCATCCCTGGAAGTGTCCAAGGCCGGGTTGGACGGGGCTTGGAGCAACCTGGGCTGGTGGAAGGTGTCCCTGCCCATGGCAGGGGGTTGGAACAAGACAATCTTTAAGTTCCCCTCCAACCCACACCGTTCCATGACTCCATGACTCTCCCTTCAGAGATCTGAACCAGGCTCTGAACTGTTTCCTGCACAGATCAAACTGGCAGCAGGAGCCTGGAGCTCTGGCTCAGGTGGAGAAGCCGACATGCCATGTGCTGCTTCCCCCAGGGAAGACACAAGCCACCAGGACCTGACATCCAGCTCCTCCTGCTGAGTGACATCCCCTCTGTGCTCCTCGATCCGGGCTGACAGGGATGTGACATCCCAACAGACCTCCCAGACAAGAAGAAATGCCCTGGGGACATTCCCGTGGCACGGATGTGAGCGACCTGCTGTGCGAGCCACGAGCTCCCGAGCGCCCAGACCCTGTGGGGTGGAGATCCACCAGCATCTTCACGCCCCCAAAATGCTTTTCCAAAAGTGAGAATTGTCTCCCCAAGCAGTGACACCCTTTCAACAACACCCCGGCCCTTCAGGGCTGCTCTTACGTGAGCACAGAGGAGCTCAGACAAGCATTTGATGTTCAGTGTCACCAACCAGAGCCATCACGGCTTCCCTTTCATCTCTGGAGTGAGCAGCCTCCATGGAAACATTCCCGGCTCAGCAGGGAGGTGTCTACACCCAACAGCTCCCAGCCTTCACAGGGAGGGATGGGGCTGAGCTCCTGGTCTCCCAAACGTGCCTCCAGGATTGCTGCTCATCCCATGAAGACCCTCCCAAAGCAAATCTGGCACCCAGTTTCTTTCCAACCCATTGCACTCAGCCTCCACCTAACACAGTTCCATCCCTGGAAGTGTCCAAGGCCAGGCTGAACAGGGTTTGGAGCAACCTGGACTAGTGGAAGGTGTCCCTGCCTGTGGCACTGAATGATCTTTAAGGTCCCTTCCAACCCAAACCATCCCACGATTCCACGATTCTTACCACGGATGCAGAGGTGCGACCTGGAGGGAGATGATGTCCCTGCAACCTGCTCCAAGGGCCCAGATGACCTCGTGGCCCACGGGGTCCGTGGAGCTCCTGGAACAACACAGAGGACACGTGGTGGCCCCGTCGGCAGCGATGCCGCCCCGGGGGCCGAATGTGCAGCCTCTGTGCTGCTCCCTGGAGCACCTGGAGGTGCAAATCTGGTCACTGTTCATAACCCACGACCTGCCCGTGGACCAGGCAGTCCCCACACAGCCCGTGTCGGAAGGCTGAAGGCGTTCCTGTCTGGAATTGTGCCTATGGATGTGCAATGTCAAGAACAACGGGAGAAGGTGAGGCTGAAGGCGAGGAGGAGGATGAGACGACGTTGGAGGGGGGGTGAAAGTTGAAGGGGAGGTTGAAGGGGCATCTTCCAAAGGCAAAGGCGACACAAATGATTGGCTGAGACTGCCAGGCCATGCACCCTCGAAGAGCAGACAGAACATCCCTGCAGGTCCCGCTGGGATCGTTTCACGTGGGGACGGGGAAGGTGCCAGGAGGTGGGAAGGACATTCTGGCCATGGGCAGTGGCTGCTCCCTGGCCTCTGTCCCAGCTCTGTGGTGGCTGTTGGCCAAATGCCACCACAGGTGTTTGCTGCGGGCTCCTCCCTGGTGTTTTTGGAGGTATCAAAACCTCATGGGGTGCTGCTGGACTCGTGCAGGGGTTGGTGGAGGTGTGGGTGTACCACGAGCTCAGAGGAGCTTCTGCTGATGCTCCCAGTGCCAAGGAGAGATGTCAAAGAGCACCAACCTGATGCCACCAGCCCAAACAGAGACCCCTGGCTGTTCTACCACACCAGGATGTCTCCTGGAGGCCGGGGCTGTGCTTCCTAACTCCAAATGACCTACTTCAAAACTGCAAGCAAGCCTAAAAATAAGCGAGGGGTGTTATCTCGAGCGCTTCACGCGTCTCCACTGGAGAAGGTTGCCAAGAGCAGCCGGTTAATTAGAGCATGAGTCAGAGTCACAGGTTAGAGACGTGCCAGGAGCACTTGGACCTGCTCTGCTGCCCTTGGAGGAGCCAATGGAGGAGGCTTTGGGTCAAACCCAGCAGCTCTGAGCTGCCTCATGGGGTGGGATCCCCTGACCAGAGCCGTGTCTGAGCTCACACGATCCACACCAGAGGAGTGGCTGGATGTGCTTTCCCACCTGAAGGATTCTCCATCCTGGGCTGGGTGAGGACACACATCAGCTACAGGGAAAATGGATTCCAAGGCTGAAGTGGTCGCCTGCAGGGTGCAGTGAGAGCAAGGATCATCCTCCTGGAGTGTGTAGGAAAGGTAAATCCTGTCTCCACAGCAGGCAGAACCTCTTTGGAAAGTGGCTAAGACCAAGGAGAGGTCAATGATCTCCTCCAGGATGTGTGACCTCCTCCATGTCCTACACCAGAGCCTTGTGTCCTTGATCTTGAGCGAGATCTCCAAGCTGGATCTTAGCTATCCCACGGCAGAGCTGTTCCTCCCTCCCAGGAGAGAGGGACCCTGACCCTCTTCTCCCTGTTAGAAGCTTTCCTCATGAGGTGACAGTCAGGTGGGACCTCACTGAGCACCTCTTCCTCACCCTTCTCTAACACAAAGCAGTGTCCCCCTACCATACCCCTGGTCACACCTCCAGCTGGGATGAGATGGTAACAGGATGTTGGGAATGGAGCTGGAAGGGAAAACACACCAGAAGAGGACAAGAGCTGAAAGGACAGCTGGGGGACACCGAGGTTGCTGCTGGGCTGGGGACGTGGAGAGGTGGGTCCTTCACACCTCTGGATGGCGTTGGAGTAGGGAATAGGGACCGGCATCAGCAGAGCCCCAGCACATCCCACGGATGTTTCCAGATTTCCCCCAGCCCCGTGGCCGAGCAGGGGGGTGTCGGTGGCCGTCCTTACCGGTAGGTGACAGCCTGCAGGGCCCGGCAGTAGCAGCTGGCCAGCCAGAGGGAGCGGTCCGTCAGCACGTTGGGGCAGTGCGAGATGCGCAGGATGAGCAGGTTGCTGCCCGTGGCCTTCAGCAGGGACTCCAGACCAGCCTCCAGGCAGCCCCTGCCAGGGGTGGAGGCAGGGTCAGGCACGGAAGGCCATGCTCACATTCCCCATGGCCACCCCTTGGCTCTGGGATGCCCGAAACCCACAGCAGGAACCAGTGTCCCACAGTGGAAATGGGATCACAGGAACCCAAAATGTGCTGAGCTGGAAGGGACCCATGAGGATCATCCAGCCCAACCCTCAGCCCTGCACAGGCCCAGCCCCAAGAGTCCCACCTGTGCCCCAGAGGATCAGTCAAACCCTCCTGGAGCTCTGGCAGCCTTGGGGCTGTGCCCACTGCCCTGGGGAGCCTGGGCAGTGCCCAACCAGCCTCTGGGCTGAGGACACTTGGTGTGTTCAGCTGGAGCAGAGAAGACTGAAGGGAGGCCTCACTGCAGTTCCAACTTCCTTGGGAGGGTCAGAGGAGGGACAGGACCCAGGGAATGGCCTAAGGTTGGGTCAGGGGAGGACTCATGGAGCATCATCATCATCATCCCCAAGGACCAGCAGCTCCGGCTGTGGGAGGAGGGTGACCAGGACGCAGGGACTCACCGTGTGCTCCTCATGTAGTCCTCCTTGCTCTCCTTCTTCCCTCGCTGGCGCGGCTTGAGGTTTTGGAGGGTGAGGGAGTGCATCTGGGTGCACCACTGGGACAGCATGGCCAGGAACTGGGGGGACAGGGGTGCTCATCACCGAGGTGGGCACCCTCAGCACAGCCCCCACCACCCACCCCCAGCTGTCCTCGGGCAGGTCTGTGCACACACACGAGGTTGTGCAAGAGTGCAGGCAACAAAATCACGGGTGTGACCACAGGAACACGTGGGAACACGTGAGCTCCTGCCCTGGAGCATTCACAGGTGAATGCACAACACACCCAGCGCTGGTGCAAGTGCCCACCTGTGTCCCCCCATGACCACAGAGCCACGACCACTCACACAGGGTTGACCACCAACGAGGTGCTGGCACAGCTTCACCTCCCTGGAAGGAAGGTCTCACCCTGGGCAGTGCCACCCCCGTCCCCACCCCCAGTACCTTGGAGGACACCCTGGCGTTCTCCAGCAGCACCCGCGTCCACACGGCCGGGTGCCGGGCCACGAACTTCCAGTCCTTGCACACCTCGGCCGCCCGCAGCAGGGTCCTGGTGTCCAGGTAGGTGAAGATGCAGAAGAGAGCCGCCCTCATCTTGAGGATCTCGGGGCTGATCACCTCGCTGGAGTGCCCCGGGCTGCCCCTCTCCAGCCGGCACACCTTGCCCCCGGCCCCCTCGGGCCTGGCCGGGGGACACCCGGCGTCAGTGGCCACTGGGGGACACAGAGGACAGCAGGTAAGGGAACCTCAACCCCTGTCCCCCAACTCCCAACCTCCCCATCCTCCACCTTCTGCCCTCTGTGAGTTATATCAATCTCTACTTAGTGCTTTTGCTGGTTTTGATACAATTGCTTTAAATAACTGCTTTGACACGGTGCACTGCACTGCTTTATGCCATATTATGCCTTACTGGTGGGTTTTTAGCTTTTGCACTGTGTAGTAAATAATTCTGGCTAAGTTCTTTCGTCTGTTCATTTGTTCTGTTCGTTTGTCATAATAAATAACTCATTTTGTATAAATATATCCTTTTGCCATCACTAAAACCTGTGGGACAAAGTGGTTTAATCACACCTCTGTAATTCCTTAAATTTAAACTGTTGACACAGCCCGAGGCTAAGACAGGATTCAGCCTCACCTGAACCCTTCTCTGAGAAAAAAAATCAGTGATTTTTGGGTCAGAACCACCTTGTGGGGAGTGTGTGTGTGTGTGTGTGTGTGTGTG